TAGACATGAAGAAAATTTGTTGATCTCATCCTTTTATAAGGAGCCCACTCTTATGATAACCAACTTACTCTCAGGATAACTGCATCAAACCATTCATGAGGGCGACTCTCATGACCTAATTACCTGTTAAATTTCCAACTCTTAATACTATACTGTCACAATGGCCATTAAATTTCAACATGATTTTTGGAAGAGACATTCAAACTATAACAGAAATGCATTGTAAATTATGGAGCGTTGTACAAATGAGAGTTGTCACAATTATTGTTCCTGTAGTTAAGCCAGATCTGTGAGTACTGTGTTGTCAGTGTCACCAATTTTTTGGAAAACTTTTCTAGTCTGTATTGATCTACCTGATTGAGTTGTTTGGTTATAAAGTCAGGCTTGAATAGAAGCAAGGTAATAAATGATCGCAAAATCATTGCCGTATTTTATTTATTTATTTATTTGTATTTCTATTATTTATTTATTTATTTTAGACAGAGTTTTGCTCTTGTTGCCCAGGATGGAGTGCAATGGCATGGTCTTGGCTCACTGCAACCTCTGCTTCCCGGGTTCAAGCCATTCTCTTGCCTCAGCCTCGCAAGTAACTAGGACTACATACTCGCGTCACCAAGCCTGGCTAATTTTGTATTTTTAGTAGAGACGGAGTTTCACCGTGTTGGCCCGGCTGGTCTTGAACTCCTGACCTCAAGTGATCCACCTACTTTGGCCTCCCAAAGTGCTGGGATTACAGGTGTAAGGCAGTGTAAGGCACCGTGCCTGGCCATGCTTTCTTTTTTATTTTGTTTTACTCTATCTAACACTTGCTTTGTTGGTTTTTTCCTGTGGTCTGGGGGCTGGATTGGGAGTAGGTGTGGGGAAGGAAAGGAAAGAGGAAATAAGGAGGGGTCATTTTTATCTCAGGATCTCACCATTTCTGAGGGTAAAGTTTTCATGGAAATGAGCATTGGGAGACTGATGTTCTTGTTTTAACCCTTTGGCCTTTTATCTGGGCCTTAGTTTTCTCATCTGTAAAATGGGAGCTGAAACTGTAAGGTCCCATTCACTTGTAGCCTTTTTTTTTTTTTTTTTTTTTTTTTTTTTGAGTCGAGGTCTTGCTCTGTGGCCCAGGCTGGAGTGTAGTGGCACCATCTTGGCTCACTGCAACCTCCACCTCTTGGGTTCAAGCAATTCTTCTGCCTTAGCCTCCTGAATAGCTGGGAGGATTACAGGCATCAGCCACTACACCCAGCTAATTTTTGTATTTTTAGTAGAGATGGGGTTTCACCATGTTGGTCAGGCAGGTCTCCAACTCCTGACCTGGTGATCCTTAGCCTTAGCCTCCCAAAGTGCCAAGGCGGGCAGATTACAGGCATTAGCCCCTGTACCTGGCCCAATTGTAGCCTTTTGTAGATGTGAGATCACAAGCATGAAAGAACCCATGTCCTTAACAGAAGAGAGATTAGCATGTTTCAGGGGCTGCTATGGGGGAGCTGATGGGGGAAAATGATAGGAGGGAGGTACCTGGAGATGCCTCAGGACATGGGTGTTTTTCCATGGAGTATTCTTTCTGATTGGGAGAAATATCTTTAAAGATTTGGATGGGCTTATTTTCCTGTTTTGTCAAGAAGATCATGGTTCCCCAGAGCGTACACCTTGTTTCCTTGCCAGTTTCTAGGAGCCTTGCTCTGTTGTATGGATGCCAGCTCTGGCACTGCAAACACACACAGTGAATATACGTACTGTGTTTTAAGTAGAATCCTTGCACTGTCTTGGCAGTGTGAGCAGCCTGTTATCATCTTCCCTATAGGGCTGGGGTACTCTGACCCCCTTCCCCTGAGCCCCTGATGGACTCAGCTTATCCCAGGTTGCCTGAGTAAAGTGGGCCAGAGAGGAAGGAAGCTGTAGTCACTGCAAATGAGCGGCCTGTCCCTGTTGGGCAGGAAACCTAGAGTGATGAATGGGGCTGGATGAAGTCATCCTGCTCCTCCAATCAGGCTGCTCGGAGAGAGCCAGGGGCCTCTGCAGATCCAGCCAGGCTGCCGGCTGCTCTCATGTACCTTTAGACAGAGGCTCTGAGTCTCTGGGAGTGGAGTGGGGGTGTGTGAACCGCCCGCTCCTGGCTCCTGTGTAGGCCTCAGTCAGTCTGAATGTTATTGCAAGGTGAGTGGCTTCACCGGGCGAATTTCTCTCCTTTTGCATTCTCCACCTTGCTGTGCCAGGCTCCGGCTTTGTGGCTCCGGCGCTTCCTTGCACAGCACCTTTCTGCTTCCAGCCGAGTGCCTGCACCTTCTTGAGGTTCTCACACCTGCCTGTTCCCCACCAACCGCTGACCTTCTTCCTTCCTGCTCCCCTCAGCTCTTGCTCATTACCTGCCAGCTGGCCTCTTCCCACATGCCCTCCTCATCCTGACCTGTGGGTACCAGTTGGCGGGGTGATGGGAGGGCAGGCCTCCATCTTGTGCCCTCTCCCTCTCACAGGGGGAGCCTGGGGAGACCTACACTTTGCTCCTGGGAAGAAGTACCAGGCCAGGGGAGATGCCCCTGACTCAGCCTCCTGGGCGTCTGTGGAGACAGGAGACAGGGCCCCCCTACTTGCTGGGGACCTCCAGACTCTGACTCTTACCCGGAAACTGAGGAAGTCCCGGGGGGCCAGAGTGTAGAAATAGGTGTCTTATTTTCCCCAGCCTTCCAGAGGGGTGGTTTGTTCTCCCTGGGTGGACGTTTGTGACTCTGCCTTTTCTCTCTGGATGGTGCCGCTGCTCCTTAGGCCAAGCAGAGATCATGGAGCCGGCTGACATGGCGACAGCAAAGGTAGGATGGAAATGCTGCCGGCCGCACTGTGCGTAAGTGGCTTCGCTTGGCGAGTTCTGCCTTTGGTTCACTTTTCTCTCTCCTCCTCTCCCTCAGCCCGCCACTCCTGAGCATCCAGGGGCTGTGTCAGAGTGGAGGGAAATGTTGTGAGCACCAAGACCTCAGGAGAGGCGAGGAGGTGCCAGGTCCTACAAAGCACACGCCCCACCTTGGTGTGCTTGGAAGTCGGAGTGGGTGGATGAGGGGTGCAGGGTGGGGGGTGGAGGTATCTGTAGCTTTCATCTGCACTCACTTATATGTCCGTCTTTTTTTTTAGCCTTGCCCTGTTTTTCGTTTCTCTTTATCCTGTCTCTTTTTCAGTTACGCCTCTTTTACTCTCCCTCTCCATCTTCTTCCTCTGCTTCTTCTCTGCCCTTCGATCCATTTGTGCAATCTCCACACTTTTTTTTATTTTTACCTTCTGTTTGCTTCTCTTTTCCTTCTCCCTGTTGTATAAGGAATGGGTGGGGTTGGTGCGGGCTGGACAATCTTAAAAGCAGAGACTGCCTCTCATCCTGCAGCAGACGTTGGCCTTGGGATTGGAGAGGAGTTTGTATGTGAGTGGCAGATGCTGCTGCTGTCCCCGCCCACTGCTCGCCGGATGCCCCAATGGCAGTGCGGGCCCGGGCACCTCCGGGGAATGGGGGCCTGGGTACTGCGCCGCTCGAACCCTGTGGATACGCTAGAGGGCGTTCCTGAGATAGCTTTCTGATCTCTCCTGGCTCCTGCTTGCCATTTGAAATTTGCTTTTCTGTCTGTTTTTCCAAACAAGGAGTTAGAGCCATTGGGAGTGGATGGGGGCATCTAAGGAGGCTGAGTCTGTGCAGCCCCAACCCCAGCTCCAGTGTGCAGGGAGAGATATGTAGTCCTTCCAGAATATCTCAGCCCTTCATTTGGGAGCCTTGCTTTTTGGCCAGATGGCAGGGTCTCCTTTCTCTCAGAGATGGAAGACTGGACAAGGCTCAGACTTCTGGAGCAGGTTGGGTACCCCGTGTTGTGTGTGGAAGAGAGAATGAGAGAGGAGGCCCAAGCGGCAAGTTTGCTGCCAGCATGAACCGTCAGGAATGTGTTACAGTGGTTAGGGCACGTCTCTGGGAATCATAGAACCTGGTTTTCTGCTCCTCCTAGCCCTACAGGCTGTGTGATCAGATCCAAGTCACTTAACTTCTCTGGACTTTCATCTCCTGGTCTGCACAAAGGTGAAAATTACACACATCTGTTGTTTTAATCAGTTTAGATCTGTCAAATACTCCAAATATTCAGTTTTCTTAGAAGGGGCCAGAGAGAGCAAACTAAATGAGAACAGGTCTCCCTGGACCCATTCCCTCCTTTGTCTCCCCTTCCTCTCTCTTTTCCTTTCTTCCACAACCATCCGAAGAGCCCCTTTGAACATGGGGTGGTGCAAGGTGCTTGTACTCCCTTGGCAGTGTGCAGTGGCAGTCATGAAAGCAGGCATCTGCAACTGGGTCTGGATCCAAAACAGTTTGCTGCAAGCAGTTTGCTATCTGGTGGGAATGCTGCCGCCTGTCTTCACCAGGGTCTTGCAAATCCTCTAGTGAACTAGCTCTTGAAGTTGTAGGTGGTTTATCACCTGGCTGGCTCTCAGGGGATGGTGACGGCAAGTGCTCTGGAAAAGGTGTGGTCTGGGGATATTGGGGATTTAGTCTGTGGTTAGTTTGGAAAGGTCTGTTTAGTTTGTTTTTGCATGTAGAGGCAGAAACAGCCTAATTTTACTTAGTCCAGATTGCACATGATCTAAGCAGGTATAGAATCAGATGTTAGAGATGGATCATTCCTGAACTTAGCACTTACTTTCAGGACCTTGACCAAGAGAGACTCTGATGGCTAACAGGAGCTCCCTTCATTGGTAGGCAGAATTTTCTCTCTCTGTACATTCTTCCGGGGAGAGTATCCGTGGCTTCCATCAGCTCCCCAGAAAGCTTATTACTCAAGAGTTTAAGAACTTTTAACTGATCAAGATGCTCCCATAAAGAGCCTATTTGCATAGCCTAGGTACAAAGCCCAGGTACAAAAGGAAGTTACATATTAGGCCAATGTCCTGGAATCTCTGATAATGCATAAAAGCAGCTTGTAAGTAATTTACATACAATTTGACTATCACTGTTTTAATGTCTAAACACATGAAAATGCAGCCTCTTATGTCAGCCTTTCCCCTTTTATTTCTGATATATGATTCCTAGAATTTCCCCTAGCCGCAATGTACTGAGTGAAATTACCCTGGAATGAAATGGCTTTTGGTGGAGATGTGGTCAGTCTTGATGACGACATTCCCTGTTAGACTGTTCAGTTCCTGTAGTAGAGATTTTAGAGGGGTGACTTCACTCTCCGGAGTCTGGATTTTGAGGTTCTGTTACTTTACTGCATCGTCACAGTCCTACTCTTTTTTTTTTTTTTTTTTTCAGGTTGCACTTCAGACTAGGGCCATCTGATAGCCTGACCTTACTGTGTTAAGATATGTAGATGATGAATTGTGTCCTGAGAGTTTTTCTTTCTTTCTTTCTCTCTCTTTCTTTCTTCCTCTCTCTTTCTTTCTTTTTCTCTTTTCTTCCTTTCTTCCTCCCTCCCTCCTCCCTTCCTTCTTTCCTTCCCTCACTCTTCCCTCCTTCCCTCTCCTTTTCTTTCTTTCTCTTTCCTTCCTTCCTCCCTCCCTCCCTCCCTCTCTCCCTCCTTCCTTCCTTTGCTCCCTCCTCCCTCCCTCTCCTTTTCTTTTTCTTTCTTTTCTTTCTTTCTTTCTTTTCTTTCTTTTTCTTTTCTCCTCCCTCCCTCCATCTCTTTCTTGCTTGCTTGCTTTCTTGCTTTCTTTTTCTCCTGCCTCCCTCCCTCCCTTCCTCCCTCCCTCTCTCTCCGTCCCTCTCTCTCTTTTTCTCTTCCCTCCCTCCCTTCCTTCCTTCCTTCCTTTCTTCTTTCTCCTTTCTTCCTGCCTTCCCTCCTTCCCTCCTTTCTTTCCTTCTTTCTTTCTTTCTTTCCTCCCTTCCTTCCTTCCTTCCTTCCTTCCTTCCTTCCTTCCTTCCTTCCTTCCTTCTTTCTTTCTTTCTTTCTTTCTTTCTTTCTTTCTTTCTTTCTTTCTTTCTTTCTTTCTCTTTCTTTCTTTCTTTCTTCTTTCTTTCTTTCTTTCTTTCTTTCTTTCACAGAGTCTCTGTTGCTCAGGCTGGAATGCAGTGGTGCCATCACAGCTTGCTGCAGCCTCAACTTCCTGGGCTCAAGTGATCCTCTTTCCTCAGCCTCCTCAGTAGCTGGGACTACAGGTGCATACCACCACACCTGGCTAATTTTTTATTTTTTGTAGAAATGGAGTCACTGTGTTGCCCAGGCTGGTCTTGAACTCCGGGGCTCAAGCAATCCTCCCACCTCGGTCTCCCAAAGTGCTGGGATTACAGGCCTGGGCCACCGTGCTTGGCAAGAGTTTCTATCTTAACTTTGAAAAGAGAGGTTGGGAAGCATTTATTAACCCATTCATTCCCCAGGTGTTTATTAAATGCTGACTACATGCCAGTGGGGAGAGTTCAGTGTGGAGATTTTAGGGATGGGTAGCTCACAGTCACCGAAGAGATGTTCATGGGTCCTCAGGGGAGACAGACAAGTAAACAGATTATGGCAGCACAGGTAACAAGGTTCAAGATCAGGGAAGCAAGAAGAATTACTTGACTGGGCAGTTCATGAAGGGCTTTGTAAAGAAAGTTACATTTGATCTGAGACCTGAAGCGTAGATGGGAATTTATCAGGTAGACAAGAGAGGAGAGATGATGTAGCTGTGATTTGGAGTCGGACACATCTGTGTTCAAATGCTGACCCTGCTGCTTTCTGGCTCTGTGAACTTGAGTGAGTTATCTTGGCCTTTCCTGGTCTCAGTTTCCTCATTTGTACATGAAGTTACCATTGATACTCCAGGATTGTCATGAGGATGAAATGCAGTGTCTTAGGATTAATGCCTGGCACACTGCAGATATCACGGAATGGTGGCTGTGGGTGCAGAAATCTGTTAGAGAATAGTGGGCCCAGGATGGACATGGCAGGGTTCAGGGCGCTACAAGTAGTTTGGCAGGACTGGCGGTTAGGATACCTGTGGAACACAAGAAGCAGATGTCAAAACCAGAAACAGAAGCAGGGAGCCTGTGAAAGCCTGTGCAGTGCTGAGATTGCATAGACGCTGGAAACAGTTGAAGGACTTCAAGGTACCATCAGCTTTGCTTTTGAGAAAGTACTCTGGCTCCAAGGTAGACTAAGATAATTGCCTCATTTTGCTCCATCTCTGATTTTTTTTTTTTAGTTTTTTTTTTGCTTTTTTTTTTTTTTTTTTTTTAGACAGAGTCTTGCTCTGTTGTCCGGCTGGAGCACAGTGGCACAGTCTCAGCTCACTGCAACCTCTGCCTCCTGGGTTCAAGCAATTCTTCCGCCTCAGCTCCCAAGTAGCTGGGATTACAGGCACATGCCAAACACCTGGCTAATTTTTGTATTTTTATTAGAGACGGAGTTTCACCATGTTGGCCAGGATGGTCTTGATCTCCTGACCTCGTGAACCACCTGCCTCGGCCTCCCAAAGTGCTAGAATTACAGGTGTGAGCCACCGTGCCTTGCCGATAACTTAATTTTTTTATGTCTGTCTCTCCCCACTAGACTTGAGCTCCTTGAGGACAGGGATTGTGTGTTTTGTTTCTTAATTCACAGAAAACCTAGCACTCAGCATTTTGCTTGGCAGATGATAGATGCTCAATAAATATTTGGTTAATGAACAAATAGGAGAGGGTAACTGCAGCTGCACCCTTAAAGGTAGCAATTGAAAGGCAGGTGAACACTGAGAGGAAGAAGCACACTCTAGTCATATTTCAGGTGCTAGAATGCACATGACATAGTTCCTAATTAAATGGGAGATGGAAGAGAGGAGGCTAGGGCGAATCGTTGGTTTCTGACTGGGTGACTTGGTAGCTAGTGGTGTTATTTATTGAGATAGATGCAGATCAGAGTTGGGAGGAGACGGTGGGACGGTGGGACAGTGGGACAGTGGGACAGTGGGACAGTGAGTTTCATGTATTCGTCCTGGCTCTGAATTGCCTGTGAGTCATCTAGGTGAAGCTGTTCAGGAACAATGGGAAATTTGTGTCTGAGGTTAGGGAGTGGTCCTGGTTGAGCATCCCAGATCTGAAAATCTGAAATAGAAATGCTTCCAAGCCTGAAACTTACTGAGTGCCAACATGCCGCTCAAAGGAAACGGTCATCAGAGCATTTCAGACTTCAGGTTTGACTATGTATTCTGCAAATATTCCAAAATCCAAACAAATCAGATGCCCCATCACAGCAGTTGAGAGGCAGAGGCTCTCCTTATAGGGTCTTAAAACTGAGAGCCTTTTTCATGGGGGAGCCTGGACTTCTGGATTTTGTGAAGAAACTGAAAAAAATGGACAGACCAGCACAGAATTACCAGTTATTTATTTTACCTATGAAAGCTAGCAACTAAAAAATATAGAATTACTCACCACTGTGTATATTTAAAGAATATTTAAACACAAAATTAAAAGGTCCTGCTGTGAATATATTCAAACTTTTTTTTTTTTGGAGACAAGAGTCTTACTCTGTCTCCCAAGCTGGAGTGCAGTGGCGTGATCTTGGTTCACTGCAACCTCCACCTCCTGGGCTCCAGCAGTCCTCCTGCCTCAGCCTCCTGTGTAGCTGGGACCACAGGTGTGCACCACCACACCCAGCCAATTTTTGTATTTTTAGTAGAGAAGGGGGTTTCACCATGTTGCCCAGGCTAGTATCAAACTCTTGAGCTCAAGCGATCTGCCCACCTTGGCCTTCCAGAGTGCCAGGATTACAGGTGTGAGCCCCTGTGCCCCGCCGATATATTTAACCTTTCAATGTTTACCGCATTGTCCTGATTTTTCTCAATTCATTACCAGTCCATGTAAAAACCCTATCATGGTACATGCCAGCACACAAATGCTCCTGGATTATCAAAGCTAGCTAGTGGCTTAGTGCATGGAAGAGCATTTGCTGAATAGTGCTGGTCACAAGATGGATGGAAGCTGAACTCCTTGATTTCCTCATGATATGTCAGTCTCACGTCTGTTGTGCTGGTGGGAGAAGGTAGTGGATATCTGTTCCTGAAACAACTTAAAGCTTCCCCCGCCCCAATCTTAGGGCACTGTTGAAAAAATGTCCTGATGACTGGAAACGAAACTCTTTAAAATCAAACTCATTAGATGTAGTCTGCTCCATCCAAGTAAACCTGTATTTATTGGCAGTGATAGTAGCAATATGTTCCAAAGGCACTATTTCTGGACACCTGTCATGCCAATAGGAAGCTCTTGTCTCCATAAAGGATGATGACAAATATCGGATCCTTTTTCTGGCTCTTTTGTGTTAAGACGAGACTAATCAAGAAATATCACGGACAGACTTAATGTAAATCAGTTGAGACTATTCACCATTACTTGTCTGTTGATTTAAAAAAATGGTATAATGATTACAAACCTATATTCGTTTTGGAAAACAGAGATAATATGTCCTTCTGATTAGATATGCCTCTCTTAGAGATTTATTGCCTTATATTTTAAGTTAGTATTATTTAATATAGCTTAATGCCCGTCTTTCATCTTCCTTGTTGGATTATTAACTTGTAGAGATCAAGGAGAACTCAGAATCTAACTCTGAAATATCATCATGATTTGCTTGGGTCATGAACATATTAGACGCTCCATAAGTATAGTTCTTTTTTTGAGATAGTCTAGCTCTGTCGCCCAGGCTGGAGAGCCATGGCGCCATCCTGGCTCACTGCAACCTCCACCTTCCGGGCTCAAGCAATTCTCCTGTAATAGCCTCCTGAATAGCTGGGATTACAGAAGCCCACCACCACGCCCGACTAATTTTTGTATTTTTAGTAGAGACGGGGTTTCACCATGTTGGCCAGGCTGGTTTCAAACTCCTGAACTCAGATGATCCAGCCATCTCAGCCTCCCAAAGTACTGGGATTACAGGCATGAGCCACTGGGCCCAGCCATAAGTACAGTTCTTGTTGAAATAATAAACAGCTGATTGATCCAACAGAAAGAGCATAAAACAATGCAAAAATATTCCCGACAAAATAGGAAAAATTAGAAAGTTTGCTGACATAAAGGAGAAAAAGTAGATTAGGAGCAGGACGTAGAGCCTGTGGTTCCTG